CCGCATGCATTAGGTATTTGTAATGCTCTCCCTTCCCTTTCCCCCAACCCCCAACAGGGCCCAGTTTGTGACATTCCCCTCCCTCTTGTGTCTGTGTGTTCTCATTGTTCAACTCCCACTTGTGAGTGAGAACATGCGGTGTATGATTTTCTGTTCCTGTGTTAGTTTGCTGAGGATGATAGTTTCTAGTTTCATCCATATCCCTGCAAAGGACATGAACTCATTCTTTTTTTTTTTTTTTTTGAGACAGAGTCTCGCTCTGTCGCCCAGGCTGGAGTGCAGTGGCCAGATCTCAGCTCACTGCAAGCTCCGCCTCCTGGGTTCATGCCATTCTCCTGCCTCAGCCTCCCGAGTAGCTGGGACCACAGGCGCCCGCCACCTCACTCGGCTAGTTTTTTGTATTTTTTTCATAGAGATGGGGTTTCACCGTGTTAGCCAGGATGGTCTCAATCTCCTGACCTCGTAATCCGCCCGTCTTGGCCTCCCAAAGTGCTGGGATTACAGGCTTGAGCCACCGCACCCGGCCATGACATGAACTCGTTCTTTTTTATGGCTGCGTAGTATTCCATGATGTATATGTGCCACATTAAGTTCATCATCACTGATCATTAGAGAAATTGGGACTATAATTATTTAAGTTAAGGACATGTGTTGAAGTGCAGTGGAGGACACAGGTAGAGATCTCCAGGAGGCTTTAAAACCTAAGTAGATTTTGGAGCTAGAGATGTATTGTCACAATCGTCTCTTTTGGGGAAAGTGAGCATTGAGAGAATGAGAGATAAGATCACCCGTTCAGACTGAGATAAAGATACTAAAGAAGGAAACCTAGAGGGTCATCTCCATCTGAACAGTTCAATATCTGTGTCCATTGATCAATATAATACTGTCCTATGTAATTTTTATTTTTCTAATTTGATGTTTAGTGTGTACGTGTGTGTGTATATATATATATGCACACCTATATATACACATATACATATATATATAACTAAGAAATCTAAGTAGATTCCTGTAACAGGACTAATTCATGATAAAACTAATAGGTAGCATTTATATAGCACTCCACAGTTTACAAAGCCCTTTCACATAACATAAGGGCTGAGAATTGTTTGAGGTCTTCATAAAAAAAATTTGAGGTATTCATAAAAAAAGTTGCACCTTTCAGCCTCCCTTCTGAAACATGAGATGCCAATATTTCATGTGAATTTTGTCCATGTCTTGCTAGCTTTACCATATGGAATTGTTTAATCCTCACAGCATTCCAGAGAAGTAGGCCCTGATCCCCACTTTACAAATGAGAAAATCAGGGAGACTGATTGATATGCCTGCAATTGGCACTACTGTAGGTATAGTATATTAAATGATGAATTATGACAGACTTTTGTAACATATACATAACGCTTATCTCAGTGTTTAGCAGCTAAAAACAAACCTATCAGCTCACATGGTTTCTGTGGGGGACTCTGGAATAGCCAACTGGATGGTTCTGGTTTTGGCTTTCTCAAGATTACAGTCAAGATGTTGGCCAGAGCTGCTGTCAGCTGAAGGCTTGACTAGGGCTGGTAAATGGATTGCTCATATGCCTGGCAAGTTGATGGGGGCTGCTGGAAGGCCTTTGTTCCTCATTGGCTGTTGACAAGAGGCCTCAGTTCCATGCCACATGGACCTCTCCATAGGGCTGCTTGAGTGTCCTCACAACATATTATCTGGCTTCCCCCAGAGGGAGTGATCCAAAAGAAAGGAAGATTGAAGCCATAGTTTTTTGTCTTTGTTTTTCGAGATGGGGTCCTGCTTTGTTGTTCAGGTAGAGTGCTGTGGTGCAGTCATAGTTCCCGGTAACCTCAAACTCCTTGGCTCAAATGATCCTCCTGCCTCAGCCTCCCAACTAATCAGGGAGGCGACAGATGTGTGCCACCAGGCCTGGCTAATCTTTTTAAAAAAATTTAGACATGGTGGTCTCATTATGCTGCACAGGCTGGTCTCAAACGGCTGGTCTCAAGTGATCCTCCTGACTCAGCCTCCCAAAGCATAGAGATTACAAGCGTGAGCCACCACACTCAAACTGGAAGCCACAATTTTCTTAAGGATCAACCTCAAAATCACACTCTATTATTCCTGCAAAATGCTTGATTACACAGTCAGTCTAAATCAGTGGGATTACACGGGACATGAATATCAAAAGAAGAGAAGATGGGAATCATTGGGGACACCTTGATTACCACACCATATTATTTATCTCAAATACATACACTTCCAACTTTCAGAATTAGTAACTCATTCTAATATAGGTTAAAGACACTTCAAAAAGATGTTTTTCTTTACATAATTTACGATTCAAGCCTTGAACACCATTTTTTAAAATTTATGAAAATGTCTGAGGCCTCTAGTATTCATAAGTGAATAATCAAACAGTAAGCAGTGGCTTGCCCAGTGGAAAACTTAAATGAGGAGGTGCCCTGTCACACTTGGTAATGAATGAGGCCTTTAAATGGATTATTCATGTTATTTATCTGTTGGAATCATTGAAATAAATTGCATCAAACAAGTCCTCTGGAAATCACCCAAATAAATATAACGTGCCATTAATCAAGGTGCCAGTCAAATGAATTGTACACTTTTCGCAGCGACACGAGGGAAGATTGTACATTTTCCACCTTATATTTTAGGATTTTAGAAGACTTGAAGGGCTGTTAGAAAAGCTTGGATACAGTTTACATGTAGCTTCAATGTGTGGCCTAACTTCTCAGTAACTAGCTCCAGCTAAAGAATGTTGATAGATGACAAAAAAGTGGCAGCTGGAAGGATGGCCCTCACTTATCCCAAACCACGGCCCTCACCTCCACCGTGGTGTTCATCACCCAGGTGCACAGTTTCTTACCTAAGTCTACAAGCATGCTTACGTTTTCCATAGCTTAGCAAAAACCTTGAGTTGCCTTCTGTCCAAGCCATTGTCCCATTTCACTTATTTGACTCATTTGGAGGCTGACAAATTTGATAAACAAGAAGCCATGTCCTCAGCTCCACTTCCTCATCACACACTTCCCAGACCCTTGCAGTCTCTCTTGTGTTCTCTGTCCACTCTCTGCTAAAACTACTCTCACAGTCTAGCAACAATCATGTGAACTCCGCAAGCAGTAGCAACATGCTATTGAAAATCCCCGTACTTCTAAAACTTGATTTGTGGTACAGGAGCTTGCACTTTGTTGAGCTCCTTGGATCTCGGTTGCTTCCGACTTCCCATGGGCCTATATCACAAAACAAAAGCAACCGTCATGTCATCTTAGTTATTGTCCTCCGCCCACTCCTCTGTGCTGTCTGCCTTTATGCCCCATTCACTCCTTCAGCTTCAGCCATCTTCTTACGATGAACACTTCTTGCATCTGTAATTTCAACTCAGATTTTTTGAATTTATTGAGACTTGCTTTGTGACTGAGTATGTGGTCAATCTTAGAGAATGTTCTATGCACAGATGAGAAGAATGTGTATTCTGTGGTTGCTGGATGGAATATTCAGTAGATGTCTGTTCCATTTGGTCAAAAGTTCATTTAAGTCCACAGTTGCTTTGTTAGTTTTCTGCTTCGATAATTTGTCTGATGCTGTCAGTGCTTGTTGGAGTCCCCCCACCATTACTGTGTGGCGGTGTCTCTTTTCTTAGATCTAGTAGTATTTGTTTTACAAGCCTGGATGCTCCAATGTCAGAGGCATATATATTAGGATAGTTAAATTTTCTGACCTCTTACAAGCTCCTTGTCCCCATAGTACTTCAAAGTCAGTCAGTCTAACACTGAACTTGTTATTCCCAGCCCCATCGCATTCTATAATACCATTTCCCCAACTTGCATCTCTGTGCCCAAAGTCACCTAGCTAACCATTCATCTTGACTTCTCCTCCTTCCTGGCAACTCACATTTTATAAATCGCTGGGCCCTATTATTTCGGCCTCCCCACTGTCTCTTGCATCCACTACTTCCCTCCTCTCCATTCCTACTGCCATGACTCAGTCCCCACATTCATTACCTTGTGCCTAACCTCTAGGATCGTCCTCCTCCTATGCACTGCTGTAAGTGTGCAAGGTCTTCTTGCGCAAATACCTTGTCCATTTAGCATTTAGCCCATACTGTTTTCTTTGCCAAGAGTCAATCATTTCTCTATTTCTTTTCTTTTCTTTTTTTCTTTTTTCTGAGATGGAGTCTTGCTCTGTCCCCCAGGCTGGAGTGCAGTGGCACGATCTCAGGTCACTGCAAGCTCTGCCTCCTGGGTTCATGCCATTCTTCTGCCTCAGCCTCCCAAGTAGCTGGGACTACAGGCGCCCGCCACCACACCCAGATTTTTTTTTGTATTTTTAGTAGAGATGGGGTTTCACCATGTTAGCCAGGATGGTCTCGATCTCCTGACCTCATGATCTGCCCACCTCGGCCTCCCAAAGTGCTGGGATTACAGGCTTGAGCCACCGTGCCCGGCCCATTTCTCTATTTCAAATTTCTCAAATCCCACTTGTATCTCAAGGTCAAAATCAAATACCACTTTCTCCATAACTTCATGAGCGCTCCCTCCTTTCTTAAAATAACTACTTCATCATCTCATATCTTTAAACATTCTACATCGTTTGAGGCACATCTCACTTCAGGTTATATTGTCTGTCCTTTCTATTTTTTCAAGTGGGTTGTAAGAAGGCATAGTCTTATTTAGCTGTTTTCCCCATAGTGCTTTCTATGGGGATTTGCCCTTTGTAGATTTATTGTTGAGTAAATGACCCTTACTAACAAGATTTTTAAAATCCAACAGTACATTTAATGCATAGTTATTTATTTTTTACTTTCATAAATTGGTTTGCAAGCAGTTCTCATGCCTGTCAGCTGAGCCCAGTCATCTCCAGGAGTACATTGGACATGGCTGAAGTAGTGGTTGTGTTTAGAAATTGCTGTAAACTGGGCTTTCATCTTATTTTCATCATATTCTCATAATTCCATGCTGTAACTTATCTGCCACTTCTCATTTCAGGGAGAGTGGAGAAGAGAAGAGAACAAAAAGTAACTTCAGGTAAGATTTTTTCTAATGGGCTCCAGCTTTATTTCCTGATTTTATTTCCACCTTTAAAATGTTTTTAATTTATTATTCAAAAATTCACACTAAAATTCATAGTTTATGGTTTTTGAACTGGTCGATATTTAATTAAAATAAATTTACACATTTAGCTTTTTCACTTTCACATCGGTTATGCCCTTTTCATTCAATCATTACATTCAAAAGAAAATGAGATGTAATGTCATTTAATTTTTTCATGATTATCTATTTAAAGATAAGTGTTGCAACCAACAGTATTAAAATACAGACGTTGTGATGTGATAGTTGATAGTTGACAACCAGTTTACTTTCCCAAGTGACTATGAATCTCAATTTTATTTCCTAAAACCGTTTATGTAGTGGATGTTTTTCAGGACAATATTAACTGAGAAGCATCTTTATGTTTTGGAGGAATTTCAAGAATGCCTTCACTTCTAAATTCATATGGATGCAGAAGTGAACCACGCTTTGGCAGAGTGCCATTGCACATAGTAGGGGTCAATATTTGCTAACTAATACAAACTTAAGTTTTTACATTTTCATATTTTCATTACTTGCCTTTTAGCTTAAAGTTGTGAGGTAAGACAGATTTTCATTTATCAAGTCAATCTTTGCATAGGAGCAGTGTTGCAGCTCACAGTGCCCAGAAATTGCCAACAACCATAGAGAATGCTAATTTGGCATGTGTACCTATGCCCGCCATCCTTCCCAAGTTTCCACCAACCATTACTCCTGTGATAAGTGAGCGCTACCAATCACTCCCATCCGCTAGCTTCTTTTAGCTTCATTTCTTGTCTGGTAATAAGATATTGTGTGTGTTTAATAAGATATTGTGTGTTTCCAAAAAGTCAGTGTAGTCAATAGAAGACAAAGATCCATCTTAATCTAAAAGTGTATAAAGAGCATAAGCTCCTGTCTCTTTTCTCCTTTCTAACCTTAGCGTTCATTTCAGATAAGTGGGCAACTTACTACCTGCATGAATTTCCTGTTAAATATTATTGTTTGCGTTCTCTAGGAATCTTTTAAGGCCTGATCATGAACACACACACACACACACACACACACACACACACACAATTATGAAGGCAAGAAAGTGTCTGATTCCCTCACAGGTATGATTACCTTCATTATTGCTCCTTAGGGGAGAAATTATTTGTACAGCTTCTAAAATGCTATTTCCATAATGCTGTAAGTCCTACCTTCTTAGTTAAAGAAAATGCACAGTTTGGAAGAAAGCTAAGTTGGCCAAAGTGTTAAGTCTGATGCCTCATTAGGTTCCCTCCATAGTCATGGCTTCTAAAATTCTGTGTGATCAAGGTGACACCAAGGTTAGAGACAGAGGCAGGACAAGGACTCGGGCATCTTCACTCCTTGTCCTTTCCTGCACCCCCACCATGCTAACCTTTCTTTTCAAAAAAAAGTGCTAGTCATTTTAATGCTTTGTTCAGTGACTTGCTTAATAAAACACTTTTCAACAAATGGAAAATCTTTAAGGCAGCAGCATCTTTGGTAGGGAACACAGGTCACTAGAGTTATGAGAAAACCCCCTTTACTAGTGGAATTTTTACAAATTTGCCCTATCTGATTTATAGCTTGTCAATTGCCTGATTTCTGTGAGAGGGTGAGGTTAAGGAGAACTGATGGATAGAGCCCATATTCTAGGGGAATGTTAGGGGGCTCCTAATCATTTCAAAGGACAACAAATCATGCCCTCAGGAAATCTAAGTTTGTAACAATAGTCTGAGTTTTTAAGATTGGAACATACTGTTTGCCCCTATAGTCATAAATACTACAATCAGTCTGTGGTGCTGGCCTGAATGTAGACTTCTTTAGATAAAGTATGTGGCTAAGATACCGAAAACATCATGGGCACTCCTATTTCTGACTTCCTGCTTGGATTTTTTTACATCTTTGTTCATTTTCCTCAGATTCTATGTCCTGCCTCCTCAGTTACTATATACCCCGCGCCTTCTTGTTTACAGCTGAGTTTATCTCCCAGCTAAGAAAGACGAATATTAGGTTCTGGACCCTTTCAATCTACCCTATCCTATTGCACTAAATGTATAATAATTGAGACAAAAAAATTAGAAAATATTTTAGAATATTCCTATTAAAACTGGGACCTACCAAGACCCTCATTTTTTGGTTGGTTAAGGTTAATTCTTTGTTTAAAGACTCTTGGATTAAGATGAAAGTTACACGGAAGCAACTTTTTGTTCAGGGTAAGAAATAACTTCACAACAAGGAAACGTCTCTGGCACCGGAAAGAATGAGATTATGTTTGTAAACACGTGCAGGGTTTGGGCACCTCCTAAAAGAATGATGACAAGAGATTGATAAAGATTTTGGTGAAATCATTGCTAAAGTTTTTTCTAATGTGTCTATGATTCTATTGCCATTTTCACTTAATTGAAATGGCTCTACTATGTATAATGGTCGTCAACAAAACTTAAGTGGCTTTCATTTCATTACATAACTGAGTGAATCATGTTCCAAAGATTACACTAATTTAGTTTGGACTGAGTTTCTCAGTAAAGCATCTAGCTGATGGTGTTAAGACTGTGGAATTAAACTGTCCTGTAGTCTATTTAGTGACTTCTATTTAGAGTCCGTCTACAGTGATTGCAATCCTGGCTATTGATTCCTGTGTAATGCTACTTTTCATATGCCAGAAATAACTCACAAGAGAATATGTATAACTTGGTATCATTCATTGTCATTTTTGAAAACCCATTCAAATTATATGCCCCTTGACACTAAACTTGGAAGTCTATGTCATATTCATACAATATGGTTAGAAACATCAAAACTAAATTTGGCGATTTGGCTTGGTAAAGAATATTATAAAATATATGGTGGTATAATGATAAATGGACAAATATGAGGAGGCAAATACCTGATGTCATCAATGTTCTATTTTCCTTTGATTCTCTTTACCAGGAAAATTTTTTAAAAGATCAGCTATTTCATAGGTTTTACATAAAAACTTCATTGTTTGAAGTACCTTTATCTCATCAGAAGAAAGACTTCTTTGTGGGCCATGGAATTCTCAATATTAGAAAGCAACACAGCATAAAATTCAAAGAGGAATTCTTGTGAAGAAAAGTGGATTATCAATTATTGTTAGGATGCTTACTAACATAAACTATGGGAATACCATCTGTTACATCTATATTCCAACATTTCCAAGAAGAAAAACCCTTTCAAATTCAGTTAAGTATGATGGAAAGAATAGCCCTAGTAGACCAGAGAATGGAGAAATCAATTGTGTACTTTTCGCTTATGACATTAGAGCAATCCCTAAAGTTAGAAATGGTTTGTTTATTGCATAATTTGCAAAAAGCTACCCATAGAGAAGAACAATGTGGTTGGGTTTTTTGTTTGTTTGTTTGTTTTGGGTTTTTTTGTCAACTCAAAAGGCAAAATTCATTATTGGAAATTTAGCAAATGTAGAACATCTGCTTTGCAAGCTCAGTCCCTTGCTGCTTACTTTTTGAGTGTGTTCCTTCTTGGAAATGTTCTACAACAACAATGGCAACTCCATTTTAAAACTTTTTAACACACATTTAACATGCAGTCATTCAGGAAAAAAAAATAAGTAGACACTGAATAAAATCTTCTGTGCGTGAATAACAAGTTCACTTTATTATATGTCATATTTATTGAATACAAATAATATTTAGCACATTTAGCATGATTTTTCTCTAGGCTATTTCTATTTTTATAGTGTTTTTGCCATAGTTTCTATACACTATCCAAAAAAAAAACTTAAAAATCAAAAGTGAAAAAGACCTATTTTGTGATAGTTTTAATTATTGGTGACCAACATTAAACATATGAAGTTAGCAGGTAGAAGACATTGTGACAAATACATTTAAACAAACTATTTTCCTTGAAAAGCCCATCATTTTGGACATCAGTATTTTGCAATATCTACACGTTTCATTCTCACTTTGAGAATCATTATTCCAGTTAGAATCAAGCTTAAAATGCTTACCATTCTAACTTGTTCATAGCTTATAAAAGCTATTTTCTTGACAGCACCTCAGGCACCACAAAAGGGGCAGAGAAGGAATCTGAGGTATTTAAAAGTTGATACTTTCAATTTGATAAATATTTTAATGGTGCAGGACTTGTGCTTAACATCAGAGATGCAAAGGTGAATAAGATGTGGGATAAATATCCTTAATTCACTCACTTTCAGTTCAGGGAGAAAAGCAAGTACACATGATTACAACACGGTGCCTTTTAAAGAATGATGTACAAGGTATCATGAGGAATTCAGGGAGGGCTTCCTGGAAGAGGTAAGAATTGAGTCAATCCTTGAAGAAAGAATTAGAGTAGTTTACCAGGTTAAAAAAAGGGAAAAGAGCTTGCTGTCCAAAGGAGTGTGTTCATGCAAACTAAGCAAATCTGAAACACCTAATAGTTAATGAAAGAGACATTGCCAGAGAGATGAAGGTAGCTGGAAAAGGCAAGGCCTATTGAGGGAAAGCTTAGTGATTTAATAAGACTGGAGCAGAGTCATAAACAAGAAGTGGGAGATGTGGCCAAAATGTAGGCACACGCCAGAATCAACAAGGACCATCTATGCCATTCCATGGAGTTTGGGCTTTATGCAGTAAGTGCTGAAAGCTAATGAAATACAAGGAATTACAGAATCCATTTGCCTTTTCTAAAAATCTCTCCAGAAAAGAGATTTCTAAAAATCTCAGTGGAAGTATGCATTGGAAGAGAAATTGGCGGGAGGCAAGGAAATCAGGGAGGATATCATTTTAATTACCCAAGAATAACAGGATGAAGGTCTGAGGTGTCTTTACTAAGACAGTGACATTAGAGAGGAAGCCGAGGAAATGGAATCCGGATACATTTACAAGATCAAATTGACCTGGTTGGATATGGAAAGTATGGGAGGACAACTCCTAGGTTTCCCGCCTTAGAGAAGAGATGTATACTGCAACCTGTGTAGGGAATAC